CAACTTGGGCCAGTGAAGCAACGTCCTCCACAACTAGACTGAAGAACAAAAGGACAGCAACTTGTCTGTTCCCCTTCCCCCAATTTCCCAGCGCTCTTCCCATCCCCTAATTCCCCAATTAAAAAAAAAAAATCCTTAAAAAAAAAAAAACACAGGTCAGTTCCATGCCGAAAATCATCTCTGTACCAGTGCACTTAGGCCACTTCTCCCATCTTCCATCTGTTAGTCGGCTCCTGACCAAGCACCCATTGGTGTCTGATATTTTACATAAATGAAAGTTGAAATAATGTGCCCCACTCCATTAAGAGGCAAAATTCTAAAAAGCCATTTTTAAAAGATATCTTTCTGTAATCTTTCCCTTTTTCCTAGGCATGCTTACTAATATGTACTTTAATCTTTCTGAATGACTCAAGAGTTGTCATCAATGTACACATTAATTATTGTAGAGATTTGTAATGCAGCTCTGAGAAGCTGGTTAGGGTAATATAGGAGTGTATGCCTATCATTCAGCTGATCTCAAATAAAGACAGAAATCTTCAGGATGTCAGCTATCTGTGTTCATATGGTAGCATGTCTACTTCTTAGCAGACATTTTTTGTTTACTGCATCTAGTCCGTAGGCTAAGCCAGCTGTTAATCATTGGGTAAAATAAAGGTAAGTGAACTTTAAGCAGGAACAGCTCATTCAAAAGTTTTATGTTTGAACTTCAGTGACATCTATTTTTGCTGTTTTTTAAAACTATAAATTAGTTTTTTTCTATTTTAACAGATATTTGAGTGGTTGCAAATTAGTGAGATGTTACTGTTAGTTTAAGGATAAAACTGGCACATCTCTTCAGAAAGGTTTTATAAAGCTAGACCTTACTAGAAAGAAGAAACTATTTTCCTCAGAACTTCTTTTTAGGAAAAAAAGTTTTTTTAAATGAAATAAAAATTTAATGAAAAATGGTTATCAGGGCTTCTCTTTGATTTGGGGAACCCCATGAAGATTTCTGTACATCTTCAAATTTTTCACTATGAAAAATTTTAAGACATGGAAAAAGTATAAAGGAAACCTACTACCAAGCTTTAGAAACAAACATTAGTTCGGGAGAAGCCTTCTGTATATTCCCCCTACGTTGCATCTAGTCCTGTAACACCTCTAAACTTACAGCCTTTTTCTAAGTTTTCTTTTTAATGAATGCAACTATTAAAAATAAGATTTAAAATAGCTCTTTAGGCAAACATGTTTTTATTATAATGAAATGATACACTCCCAAAGACCATAAATATTAATACTATTTTGTGTGTACAAACTGTATTAGAAATTATTAAGTGGTAATTTATAATAATATCATTTCTTTCTTAAACATCTAGTTTCTATGCCTTTGCATTTGTCAACCTGGGCTATAATGAAGAACATCGTTGCTAAGAATGGGTTTTCTGGATTATTTACAGGTAAAAATATTTTCTTTACCAAATCGTTGACTAAAATTTAACTTTCAGCAGGAAATTATTAAAAACATTCCATATTTGTGATTTCCTCCTAAGCATATTTGCTATAAATTTAAAAATGTTAAATAATAATAGATTTACTATCAGTAAGACAAAATTTCTGTGTAAAGTAACATGGAATTAAAGTGAGGAGGTTGGGAATGAGTTTGGCTTGTTCTTTGATAGCAGTCATGGCACAATATTTGATATATCACTTCATTTAATTTGACCATTATCAGAATGAAACCAAATAAATTACATTTTAAAAAATAAGGTAGAATTTGTTCTGATTTTCTCTTCTCCTTTCAGGCCTAATTCCCCGTTTAATTAAAATTGCTCCTGCTTGTGCCATTATGATCAGTACGTATGAATTTGGAAAGGCTTTTTTCCAGAAACAAAATGCTCAAAAACAGCAATACCAGTGATGCTGTTTCAACTTGAAATAACAACCATGGCCAATAATATGATGGAGCTTCTTAGGCAAGAACCTCTTTCACCATTATCTTACAATGATTTTGTATCTTTCCTGTAATTTTAAATGAATAGGAATTTGTATTCTGCCTCTAAATCAGCGGTTCTCAACCTTCCTAATGCCGTGACCCCTTAATACAGTTCCTCATGTTGTGGTGACCCCCAACCATAAAATTATTTTCGTTGCTACTCTATAA